ATCTTGCCTACGACATAGAGATGTCATCGGTGACCTGAGGACATAGTATATTTGGTCGAGTCACTCGATGACATATTGTCAAATCATACTCATCTTGTAATGATGGTGATGACTTAATTGAACACCATGGTTGGTCGAGTCACTCGAGGCCATGGTGGTTCGAAAGCCGAATAGGACGGGAATCACAAGGAGTTGTGATTGGCAAGAGTTGCCTACCTTTACGGGCTTAGCGTAATTAATCGAGTCACTCGAGGTTATGTTAAGACATCGATCGGATCCCGATCCCAATTAGAGATCTGTCGGGAGTCTCTCATTCACATATCGGAGGGAGTTGTGTGATTCGTGAGAAAATAGTGGGAGAAGATTAAGATATAAGTCATTATATGTTTTTATTTATTTTTGTAATAAAATCTGAATGTTATTTATTTTTGTTATATCTTTATATTCATAAATATGATACATTTAAATGATGGTGATGACTTAATTGAACACTATGGTTGGTCGAGTCACTGGAGGCCGAATAGGACGGGAATCACAAGGAGTTGTGATTAGCAAGAGTTGCCTACCTTTTCGGGCTTAGCGTAATTAATCGAGTCACTCGAGGTTACGTTAAGATATCGATTGGATCCCGATCCCAATTAGAGATATGTCGGGAGTCTCCCATTCACATATCCTATTCTTCTCTACCCTTCTCATCCTTAGATAGCAGGCGTGGATATTTGAGTAGTGTCATAGCATCCCTACTATGTAGATCATCGCTGGAGAGGATGACGCTTGACCTCTTTCATCCTCTCCTACAGATCTGTAGGGATTCAGAGATAAACGATCTCCCTATGTAACACAACTATCTCACACGTAGTTTTTTATGTCGTATATTTTGCATACCAATCTATGCACGACGACGAACATATATTAAAAAATTTAAGATTTTTTATTTTATGTTCTTCCGTTACATATGTGATGTCACAGCTACAAAGTGTTGTCTATCACCTCCACTTTTGTCACCCTATTCAATGTTGCCTTTGTGCAAAATTACTCTCGGGCAATAACTTTCTCCCTCTCCTCTGTCACTTGTGCAGCATAAATAGAGTGGAGGCAAGCATTAAGGGCGCTAACAACGACGATTGCACACTATCGGTGACGCTTCACATAGGCAACATGGAATCGTGGACCGTGAGGAAAGAGGAATAAAAGAAATGGGGAAGGGAAAACAGAAAATAGATGATAAGCGATGTCACTCATGGGAGCACACCACAGTGTGATGATGGTTGAGGAAAGAGATTTTTTTTATCAAATTGATAAAAAAAAAAAATACTCTTGATATAAACTAATTGAGGAACACCGTTTGATAAAAGTAGAGAACTTTTTAAGGCAAAATTTCTATTAATAATTATTCAATTAAAGTTGATCAGCCTCCCATCACTGATCTTACGGAAGCTTCTACAAGCAGCATCCGGTCCCGGGCGTTCCTTAAGCAGCCTATGGTCGCTGGGTCCTCTTTAAGCTTCCTTCCACCAGCCCACGTGAGTGGCCCAAAAAGCTATATGCATTCCCTTTTCCTTTGCCAAGGCTTCTACTAAAGTGTCTAGCCATGATCATCTTTGAAGAGCCACTATTCAGGTGCCACATAGGAGATCACATGGCTGTTAGCTACTGCTAATGCAAATAAGACGCGTTTCACCTCCCTATTGGTTGGCGCTTGGTGGGACCCTTCCCAAAGGATGTTGGTGGAAAAAAATCCCAATGCTACTGGGAAATTACAATGTCATTAGTTGGCATGAACACATGTGAAGCTCCTACAGGTTTCATGACAGAAAATACCACAAGAATCATACCATCCTAATTAATTCGAGTCATTATTCAGAACATGCAAGAAAATGAAAAGAAAAAAAAATCTCAAAAATAAATTTTCATGATAATGAGAGTTGCAATGTGAAATCAAAAGCCAGAAACTAAGTTGCTTCGAATCAATAAAATCATGAAAGCAGCGATACAAGTCCTGTCATCATCATCATGGTGGCAAGTGGCATAGTGCTCTCATGTGCCCTGCAAGTTGGCCATGAATGCGAGATATTGACAGCCAAAAGTGCTTCCTTTGTAGTTTTGTGCCATTGACCCATAGGCGGAGGAGACAATGGTGCCACCACCATTGCTCCCCTCGCTGTCTTTGGCCCTCCATAGTATGTCTCTTTCTCTCACAGACCCCTGGATTGGCTTGCCTTTTGCCCCAATATTACTTCATCGACTTGGCATCTAATTCATGACAGGTACTTACCCTAAACATTATTTTTTTTTAGACACTGTGATGAATGCCTCTTGTAGGTTCACATCACATCAGCCACTCCCAACTTGCACAAGGGAACACCCAGTCCTCTTGATGGTGCTTGGAGGAGCGTTCGCATGATGATCTCATACCTTTGTGGGATAATGGCACCAACATTTACTGTTTGAAAAGGCAAAATGAAAGAATATGCTTCATGTAGTTGACCCTACCTTTAACGATATATATAGCATGAATGCATCAACAATAATTGGATAGGATGGAAATATAATGTTATCTTTAAGAAAATAACAGAGCTAGATTACTATCAGCGCCAGTAAGCTAGCTGACATCTTCTGAAAAGAATAATCTTTATTTTCTTAAATAAAAGAAAGAATATGCATCACATAGATGGCTTTAGATAGGCATGCTCATGTTCCTAGTTGACCCGATCTTTTAATCTAGGAATAAAAGACCATTTATTGAACTTGTATCATCTACAGTGATAATATCTATTCACTGATCTATTGAAACTCTCAAAATTGCAAAGATTATCTGAAGTGCTATTGAATGGAAAAAAGAAAAGAAGATAAGCAACAAAATGAATGAAAAGATGCCTCTTTCACAAAGAACATCCGAGGCAAGTAGCACTAGGAAGTAAACACTTTCTAAAACACACATCATTCTCCAAAGGCTAAAAGGGGTTATGCCATCAGATTCCTATCATTTAAATGACCGTCTTCTTTTACCTGGGTTAAAAGTCAAAAGGGCTTTTGTGGGACTTTACATGGACCCAACTATTAGCATTATCTGGCAATGCTGCTTATATATGCACTCTCTCCTAAGAGCACTCTCTCCTGACCCTGGTGAGAAGCAAATCTCTTCTTGTAAACAGCCTAATATAATATGAAAATTTGTTTATTGAATCCTCAGAAAGAAAAGGTTACTTTTTTATCTTTCAAATTATTCAGGAAACACACATTTCTCCAAATCTTTTTTTTTTTTTTTGAAAGACTTCGAAAGTATCATCCAGAAAAGAGAGACTGATGTTTTCTTTTTCTGTTTGTGTCTTGCCAGCAAAAATCTAAACAAGTGATTTAACTGATGGAGCTAGAAAAGTTCTCATAATCTACTACCAACATACTAAAGCAGGCAGTCAAAATTTTTATGAACTTTCCATCTCCAACCAAGTCTCTGAGGAAAAAAAAGCTGCAGATCCATCAAATCAACCAGACTTCAGTTAGGCAGTTCATGATGATGATGATGCACATGCATGAACATTCTGCAGAAAGGACAAAGATGCATGTGGAGCCTATTGTCAGATGATCATCAGACTCACATGAACTCCACGAGACCCAATTGGTACAGTGCATCGAAATCTTTATGCAAGTAATAGGTACATGAGATCTTGGTTGTAATTATGAATTTACTTGATAACAAGAACAGAAGGGGGCAGGAAGTCGAAAATAGGGTATGCACTATCATACCACCACAAACAAATAGCTACTAGTGCATCCATGTGATGCTGTTACCTTTCTATTGATCAGCTTTCCTTTTCACTGGTAAGAGCACCCACCTTCACTGAGAATGAGCCAGAAACCAGGCTGCCACATCAGACCCACTAGTGTCCAAAGGTAGTCGAGCTTTAAATGGGCAAAAGGGCCAGCCAGCACTGCAGTAAGGATTCCTTATCACACCATGCTCTTGTATTGGCCACATTGTTGGAGGAGATACACATGGCTCAGAGGCTACTTGAGGGAGGCCGACCTGGGAGATCAATGATGGTGGCCTCATCAGATCTCGATCTCTCTCTCTCTCGGGGAGGGCAAACAAAACATTGAGGTGACAGCTCATATTTTGCTCACTTCCTTGCAGGATTATAAAGTCTGCTATTAAAACGTTTGCAATGTTCACACCATTGATTCACACCCTGACCAAGGGCAACAGCTACAGACAGAGAAAGGATCCCATGACAATTGAATTTTGTATGCAGCAATCCCCAATTAAATCAAAAGCTACCAAATCTGCTAATATTACTTGTAGGGAGCGGGTGGGGTTGGGGTTGGGGTTTATAAGGTGATCCTTTATCACTATCATTTTAAAGGCCCTTAAACATATCAATATCATCTGATTGTAAGACTACACACTTCAAATGTTTGCAATAAAAGTATTCTTATTGAATCTTTCCTACTTCAGTTCATCTATCTTAACATTTTTCTCTTACTTTAACTTCCAGGTTCACATGGATTCAGCTTCAAGTCTAACAAAACATAGTTTTGGATATCTATCATAAACACTCAAACTAAAGCATGAATAAGGTAACTTCAAAGGCCAACTAATCACAATTCTTGATATGCTAATTGAAGACAAATTAAGACTCATGGAATAACTTGGATAAAGGGACAGCTCTCCTCTCTTAGAGATCACCTCGGGATCTTTCCCTCCATTTGTGCCAAGGATGGAACACGTTTAGGCTACGAGTGGGGCAAAGTCAGAGGGATATGTATATGACCCATACACACACTCATTCTCTCTTTCTTTCCATCATCTTTTTCCTTGGTGGAATTTTAATTGTGGTTGTGACCTACATGTCGTAACATGTGACGATAACAATATCATAATAGATACCATCCCAACATTACGGAGTAATGAAAAGATTGCATCTATTTACGAAAATGCCGTCGGGCAACGGGCGAGGAAGACGGCGAATCAAGAATCTCAGCACACGAAAAACCAGATCAAAAACAAAGAAGAGAAGATAGATGAAATGTACAACGAATTACCACAACCAATTCTAAGGCCGGAAAGGCAGCGAAGACCAAGAGGAAGAAGAAGAGGACCTCCGATCACATAGGCTCCGCTGTCGCCGCACCGGCGGCGGAGAGGATCTCGGCGATGGCGCTCATGGCCCGCACCTGCATCTCGAGCGCCGCGATGTAGTCGGATGCCTCCTCCAGGAGAGTCAGCAAAGGCAGCTTCCGGCAGCCCGGGACCAGCCGGCCCAGAACCCTCGCCTTCCTCTCCAGGGTCGGTGGCTTGCTCTTCGGTGTCGTGTGGGAGGCGGAGGCGGCGGTTATGCTGCCGAGGGGCTTCCGCCGGCAGGCCCGCGCCCGGACCCAGAGCTTGAGCTTCCGGCCGGAGAGGATCGCACGGCTCCAGCGTGTCCGGCCACGTCCAGCCACCGCCAGCGCTCGGTCCGCCGCCGCCCGGACGGCTCGGCTCCGCGAGTGGTCCGTCGCTGCCGCCGCGGAGGATCGGCGGACGCGGCGGATGGCCTCGATGAGCTTGGATGAGTAGGTCTTCTGCTCGCCCTCCGTCCTCCACTTGGCCACCGGCGGGTCTGCCCGGCGCTTCCGCTTCCTCTCCCCTCCTCCTTCGTTACCGGTAGCGGGATCCCCCTCCGCGTTCGAGATCGCCATCTCAAACCCCACAACCCACCTCCGACTCGCCTGCAACAAAAGCGATCAAATCAGTCAAAAGAAACCCCGCCGAAAAAACCAGATCACATCACCATATTCTCCACCAAAAAGTCAGATCCGCCCACATGATTCCAAGATCGAAAGGGCAACACGAAGGAAAAGGAAATCATCAACAGTCCAAGATCGTATCTGTGTTCTTACCTCGACAAGTCCGATCGAACAAAATGAGGAGGAGGAGGAGGCTATAGAGTGTGGAATCGATCGATGGGAACGGATTGGAGTGGAGCGGATGACGAGAATAACTGACGACAGGCCTCGGCTCGCACTATTAATACACCGAGGTTTCTAAATGCTTTTACTTTATTGACGATTCTGCCATCGGTCAGAGCGAACCAACTCAAGCAGTAGTAAATCTCGATGTGGACAAAACCGCGGCGGGAGAGCAAATGCAATGACGATCTTGCCATTTGGTTTCGACGGCTGTGATGATGGCGTCATCATATGATACCAAGGAAAAATTACAACAATAATTAAGAATCAGCTAATTCACGAAAAAAATATTCTCTTTTTTTATTTTTTCTAGGAAGTGTCTCATTCTCAGAATTTTCTAACAGCACTTTTTTTATTTACCTAATACCGAAAATATCATTAACTTAATTATCAGTCATATACGCTTTTTTCTTTTTCTATAAATCAATTTATAAGATAAATTGATCCAATTAATTATTTTTACACTGTATTATAATACTTTCAATGATATCAAAAAATATTATAACATAATACAAAAATACTGTAAAACAATGTATTTATATAAACTTTATAAAAATATAATATTTTAAAACTATGTTATGGTGGTTTCTTAATATTGTTGAAAGCATTGTGACATAATATATAAAGACAATAACTAGACAAATTCATATTATGAACCGATTTATAAGAAAAAAAATAAATAATCGAGAATATTCTAAGTATTAGATAAAGGAGGAGGTTGTTAGGAAATTCCAAAATGGGATACTTCACCAAAAAAAAAGATAATTTTTTTGAAAAATTTACCCATTAAAAACTACATAAAAAAGGAAAAACAAAAGTTTCTTTTGTTATTATTACTTTGCAATGATCAGCTAGTGATGGCAATGTAAAGAAATATCAAATCCTATGTGTGTGTCTCATGAGCAAGCTTTATTTTTATCCTCTTGCATGATCATGTTTCCTTTTGCCTCTCTCATTGCTTAGTTTCTTATATATTTCTCCTTTTTTTTGCTTTTACATGCAGCAAGGAGAAAACAGTCATTCCAATCTTTGGCTTCTCAACCCTTTCCTTGAGTGAAGAGGATTCCTCGACATTGACCACATGGGCATCACAAGAACAAATCTCAATTTCCCTGTACTTGGTTCAAGAGGGTGCATCCAATATGCCTAAAATAGCAGACTAGGCAACCTCTGAGGGACCAAGTCACATGATTAAGTAGGGAGTGACTCAATGGTCTTGTCTCACATTTTCTTTCTTTTCTCCCTGTAAATCTCATTTGTTGAAAGAGTGTTTTTTGCTCAAAGCTGTTTTAAGCACAATCCAAAACCTTGAAGTATATTTATTGTATAAGAGTACAAAGGAATAAAATCCAGTAGTCAATTAAATGAAAGTTTTACCACTAAATGTCAAACATGATGATTCATGCAATTAACCTAGTAATTCTACAGTTCAAACCCAATGCTATCTGTAGGATGATATTGAGCAGATAATTTTTCATTTCTTCCTTTCTGCAGTATTTGTCACTGAATATTATCTGTAGGATAATATTGAGCAGATAAATTACTAAGGGACACATGGACTCCCAAATCACAGAAGAAATCCACTCAACAAGTACCATAATGGTTTAATCAGGTTGCATGTCAGGTTTTCACTGAATCAAAATAGAGAATATTCTGTGAGATGACCATACCTTGATATGAGAAATAGTCCCTACGATGTACCCGTCAGAGTTTCCAACAGTATAAAAAGGACTTCTAGATCAGACTCTACCCTCTCTAAACAAAACTTTAATCTTATATGTTCACTTCTTCTTTTACTCATCTCAAGATGAGCTCTAACTTAAAGCATCAAATGAGCTTAGAAGTACCAGGCATGTTCCCAACGCATCTTGATTCTTATAGGGTTCAAGAAGATCCATCTCGAAACTATCAGTTCAAGACCACCACAATCTAACCTCAATGTAGCCCTAGATGTGATTGCCATAACAGCTCAATTAAACCTTAAATACAAGAAGCAACAAAGTATAAATGCCTCAAAGTCTCTAAAACCAGTGGAGTAGTTTCAAAGTACTTTCCACCTTGAGAACGGTAAGAGGAAATGATTTCAATCTAAAGCATTTAGTTCTTTTTAGGATCACCTTATGTTGCAACTTGATGTCACAATTTATACAAGGAAAGAACAAAAAATGCTTTGGGAATCAAATGTGGTTGGCATCTTATCATCAATAAAAGCCAAGCATGAGCACTACCATGGAGCCTACCAATGTCCAATCTCAAACTCTATCAGATCATCGGATAAGTGACGAGTCCTATCTTTTGTTTGTCACTCATATATATTTGAGTCATTGTTACAGATAAAAGAAAATATTTGTATCTTTGGATCATGGAATCCAGCTGACAAACACTGTTTGATTCTGTACAATATCCATTTAGTAGGGTTTGGTTCCTAACAACCAACTTTAAATAAGAACCAAAATCAACATATGGTACAGCCACGCTCCAATACTAAACTTCAGTTTGCATCAAGCACAATGAACACAACTTGAAAATTCAGTAGTTTCATACCAAATGATTGTCTTATCTAAACTTTAAGGTACATCCTCATGTCAACTTTGTTTCAATAAATGAATGATTTAGCTAGGGATTAGGAGGTAAGGAGTTCATACATACACTAAGCACCCTTCACTTACAATTATTACCGAATTAACAGGTTGAGAATGGGTACAATACAAGTGTTCCTAAATGGTCATTGTCCACAAGGATCAGTGGCAGACAGCAGAATAGATATAGGACATGGAACTGATATTTGAGGCATAAGGTCATAAAGAGACCTACCTACTCAAAATCATAGCATTTGTTTCATTGCACAAACACATCATGATGTGTTATCACCATGACCATAAATCTAGCATTCTGTGAATCGCATATTAATTAGAGAAGAAACAGGGCACAAAATTCTTGACATTTACCATAATGTTTTTCCTTCGAAAAGAAATAACGACTATTCTCAATTCAAAAATTTGTAATTGATAAGGACATGAAATTTACTACTATATACAGCCCAAATAGTCCTAATTGCTGAGTGTTGATTGTGACGTACCTGAGGAACAATTGGCATCATAGTATAAAAAAGGTTCAGTAACTCCCCCAGTAGTTTATGGTTTTTCTTCTTGGAATGAGGTATCCGCATCTTTCTTGCTGTGGTAAAGCTGCAAAACCAAAGATCACCATTTAATCACTCAAGTGTCCCACATTATTCATTTACTTATTATCTAAGGAACATATGGCTTGTGTTGATGGCATCATGAGCATTTGAGCATAAGTGTAGTAGTTCAAACACAATAAAGTTAATTGACTAATTATCCCGAATTATTGGATTGTGACAATTGGTATCAGAGCCCCTAATATTGAAGCATGGTCTATTGTGGACGAGGCACAAGGCACTCCAATACATGAAGGTCAAGCCCTTAAGTGGTGGAAAATATAGTATAGACATGTATGACAAAAATAATTATCATAATATCACCATAATGAAGGATTAACTATCACGAAAATCCACCATTCTTTTGAATCCAAAGGTTTTTATTCCTAGGATGGGCATCGTACACATACTCCAATAACCACATGACAGCACTTGAGGTACGTTACAAAAATGCCACTACTTCTAGGATTTGATGACACGTTATTTTAGGCCATAATGTAATTGCAACTTGAAAGCCATCACCACATTTAGGCCATAATATAAGTGAAAGCCATCATTGACTGTGATCTGCACTAACAAATGGTTTTGTACAACTACAATCTGCACTAACAAATGGTTTTGTACAAAGAAGTACCTGGATGTTAATTCTTCCCATTACATATGAAGTAGAATTTCTCCCGAAATAAAGAGATGCACATCCATCCGAACTTGTCTCTGCATTTAGAGGATTGACACTAATTGCGCACTTGTAGGGATGGTTTCCACATCAAATTTGCTATGAGCTTCCCGCATAGCAAATAATGGTAAACAAGTTGAAGAATCATGTACTAATCCTACATTATAAATACTACCTTATGCCAGCAAACACATCCATTTCTAACTCGATGAAAGATGGCATCATGTTTCTTCAGTCTGTGCCTAATTCAAACAGGTAATAAAGTGAAAAGGATGAAGTTTTCTTGCAAAGTGTAGCTAACTGGAGCAGAAAGAAGTCATGCATAAGAATGGTAACAAAGCAAATGATGTTAATGGGGGACAAAATGCACAGAACAAGAATCAAAAAGGGGAAAACGTTTGCCTGATAAAATAGATCTAACCAGAGTATTTAAAAAGAAAAAAGATGCAAAAATTAAGCAAAAGAGACTCGAATAAGCAGACATAACTATTTCATTATAGTTCTCAGAGTGCCCCAGGATAAAGGGTGTTAGTAAAGAGTAGCTATATTCATGATCATGTAGGCACGTATTATTCGGCTTTGCAACGTCTTTCACCTTCTAGAGAACCAAGCCTCCATTTGCTGTCTTGAGGGAGTTGACATCAAGAATATGCATGGATATATTTACGGAAAGAAAGAAGAGATGAATAAGCTTAACTATACACAGATAGCTTATAAGACTAACCTGCCATCCAAGGTAACAAGCCTTCGTGTTTGCTTGTTCAGTTAGCAGTTCTGTAGAGTTACCATCAAAAGAGCTAGTTTCTTGAGTTACTGGCATCTTCTCTTCTGCAACCAAATCTCCCAATTAGCATCCAATGAGCAGGGTAACATAAGATATATAGTCTGTATTGATGAAAGAAATGTTATCCAAGTTACAGGTTCGGAACAGTAAACAGTAAACAGTAGAACACCCCAAAATTCTAAAATCAGAACTGCTGAGATTAGAATTTATAAGTAAATGCTGGTCAAGCTAAAAAGCAGTCAAATAAAGAGATTCAATACAGTTTGCAAACTATTACAACAATTTAACAGTAATAATCTCAAATGTTGCCTGCTGCTTACTACATCTTCTCCTGAAGGAAAGTTGAATTAACTTATTTTAACTACTTGTCAATAGAATGACCACCATATAGAACATCATCAATTGAGATGCTCCCAATTTCCTTTCTGATAAGGGATGGACTGGCTGGCTGCAGCATCTCTTCAGGTAATGTAGTGGTGACAGCAATGCATCTGCAATCGAGGATTACTAAATTATTGGAAATTTTCGAAAATTAT